TTGCATATGAGTGTCAGGTCTTAATTCTCTCAAATTCCAAGAGCCTCATCTTTTACTATTTGAGTGACTCTTCTTTGAGACATCCTGGCAAGACATAATATTGGCATTATTACATTTGACACAGATGCAACCAGGTTTTTTGCTGGGGTGGTGGCAGGCTTTCTCTCCTTTGCACCAGGCAGCAAATTCTAACTGAAGGGAAGTAAACCTATTCTTAAAATTTATTATTTGTAATCAGAGCTGGTTGAGGCCGTACATTTGGCTCTTGCTCTCCTTTTATTTTCACAAAACTCCACATATTAGGATAGACTGAAGGATAACAATAGATCCAAGATGACTCTGGCTGGACCTACACTGCCATATAACTCAGTTTCTGAATACAGATTATCAGGATTCGAAAACTGGATTATATGGCAGTGTAGATGGGGTCTTAATGAGGTTTCTGGCTGAATGAGAAACCCTGTGGTCTCTGTTGCCTGGTTCCAGCTTTTGATCCCATCCCTGGTAGGAAGGATGCCACAAAGAGAGTGGGCCCCTCTTCCTTTATCTTGTTTGTAGATAAAGGGACCAAAAACACTTTTGTCTTTCTGCCTAGTCTGGGCTACAGAGTTGTGACTTCCTTGCTGTCAAACTACTGGAGAATGAAGAGTTGGGTAATAGCCTTTATTACGATCATTTAAATGTCTCATCTGCAACTGCCTTTTTCCTGATGTTATGTAGAGCAGGTCAGGGTGAAAGGCAACCATCACTTCCGATTTCACGCCTAGTGGCTAGTACACAAGTGCATCTCTGGATCCAGGTATTTTTGGAAAAAGGGCCCCTGACACCCCTGGATTGCCCTCCCCTGTACTGCAAGACAGTAAAATAAAATATCATCTAGTAACTAAAGGAAACTGCTTAGCTTGGGAATAAAAATGAACCTTCTCTACTGACCCAAACGTCAACAATGAGGGTAGGCTCTGACTTTTCATGAAAAAGACCACCCCTCTTAGAATGTAGTGTACAGGCACTAGCCAATCTCTTTGAGAGAAATGAACCCTGGGTACATCTACACTGTAGAATTAATGCAGTGTGAGCCCCCCACTCACCCATCCTGCACATTTCCAACACCCAGTCAGTCCCACTAAATAAAAAGAATCAAGAAAATAAAGGAAAATCAAAAAGATCCAAGAGAGAGGCCATGCCAGAAGCCAAGCCAAAAAAATACACTAAAGCCAGGATGCACCTATGATGCCAAATAGGTGAGGAGGAGCTGTGATCGGCTGCCACCGAGCCCTGTTATGGACAGGGAAACGTGATGGCTGGGCCCTTGCCGTTATGGCCACCCAGTAGAGCTGAAGAAGCCAGTTTGGCCAAAGTAAAACGGCTAAAACAGAACCATGCGCAAGTCTACTAAAAGCCTTATAAAACTACATCTCCCATGAATCCGTGGCAATTCACGTGGTATCAAACTGCATTAATTCTACAGTCTCACATGCGTTATTAATGTTTAAGGAAGCCACTAGATTAGTTGGTGGACACTTGCTCATGGTTACCTTTGGGGATCTGAGAGCATTCTAGAGTTCTTCTATCTGTACATTTCTTCTGATAGCTTTACACTTATGATTTCGGTAGAAACGAATAAAGATTTATAGAGCCATTTCTCTTCCAACATCTTGGACACAGACAGCTAACTAAAACACACTAGAGTATACCTGGTACTGAGCTTTGATGGTCCCACTTAGCTGACAGGTTTTGCAAGACCTTTTTCCTTTTCAGCAAATAAACCCCACCATTAGAGTTTCTTTGCGCTTTCATTTATGCACAAGGACAAATGATGGCCCCAAATTGTAGTCCATTCTTATGTCTGACAAGATTACACATTCCTTATGTTTGACATTAAATAAGCAAGGATGGTCTTCTCCCATTTATGTTGGCATGTAATGGAACTTGTCTGTTTTAGCAGCTTGTATACCCAGCTTTAGTTCTAAGTGATTTAATGCAGCAGAAGTTATAAAGCCCAGAAAATTGTGGTTTACAATGGAAAATGTGACAGGCCATCAAGTATAATGACACTTACAGGCATGCTATAATGAAAGGCGGCTACACTCAGACGAGAGAACCTCTACAAGATGTTGCATTAACAGCCTCTAAATTTTCATTGTGGTGGCTGGAGATAGTACTGTGACTCTCAATAAAGTCTGTGTTGCTTCTGTTGTTGTTAAATCCTCAGGGATTGCAAATTTAATGGACAAAAGTTAAAATTTCTTTGACTTGGAAGTGCTGCTTCTCAAATTATGTTTCAAAGGCAGGGTGTGCTTTCAGAAGTTGGATCCATCCCAAAAGACCCATGGAAAACATAGTTTGAATATATATGTCATTCTTGGCTAGCCTCAGGGTAGAATCCTAACGTAATTGGATATCTCACCACCACCGGGCATGACTAAAATAAATAAGTCATACCAAGGGCTCATCTACACTATGTGTTGGATCCTAGATATCCCCACAACATTCTGCCACTTCTGGTGGGTATGGCAGAGTAAATTAAGCAAACCAGATTAACACAGTTTAGCCCCATGCTAATAGTAAGTAAGCAAGTAACTTTATTTTTATACCCCGTCACCATCTTTCCACAGGGACTCAGGATGACTTACAAAGGGAACAAGCCCAAAAATCACAAATAAAATAAAACACATTAAAACCAGTCAAATAAAATGATAAAACAAAACACAGTCATAAACAACATCATAAAAACAATACGGCTGAGATAAAAGTCATGGCTGGGATCAGGCTCAATGAGTGCAAAAATTCTGAAAGGAGCCAATGGAAAGTATGGAGATCAAGGTACAGGGCCTGGAGATCAAACGTACAGGGATTAGGGCATAACCCAATAGGAGGGTCGGGGTGGCTATAGAATTTGACTGAAACTCCAGAGCAACCTTGTGATTTCAGTACAGTGTGGACAGCAAGATTGGCTCCAATTTGGATTGGTCCACTGTCCACATGGGCCACAGTTGCCCTTGGGCCCAATGCCAAATGAGCTCCTGACCATCATGGGCACCCCTTCCTTCCTGGTCATGTTGATACCTCTTCTGATGGCCAAGAGCAGTGGCAACAGCAACATGGAAAGTAAGGTGTCTTTTCAGTGGAGCGAATGTAGCCTCAACCCACTTGGACCTACTGGACTTTGACACACCACTGCCATGGGTTCAGGATGGTGTGTGTGGCCACCTCCAGGGTCAATCTCTAGTATTTCCGCTCTGGACTGGCTCCAGAGTAGCCACCCAGTGCAGACAAGGTCTTTCTGAAGGTAACAATGACCACAGTCACTGGGAGCTGGATACTTCTCCTTAGGATGCTTCCAAATGAAACTTTGGATGTGTAGTTGTGCTGCCATGTTTTTTGGAAGTTCATGAGACATTTTGATAAATCTATCTGCAATTAACAGCATGCCCATATTTTCTCATTTTTTTCGTCAACCTTTTTTTCTTGGTAATAAAAGTCTGGAAATTTAAAAAGATGTAATAGCTGCAGAATAGTGATTAGCAACAATCCTCTGTCTGGGGGTCCCCTGAGACAGGTTAACACAGTCTATCTAGTCCATTATTCTCTGCAGATAAGAACTGTTAGCTAGATGAGAAGCAAGTTAAGGAAGGGGCTTTTTGATGGTGTCCCTTAACAGCCAGACTGCTTTACTGTTCATGTTCACCTGTTGCCTTCATCAAGGCATGTGGCCTCATGTTAAAATCACAGGGTTTAAGGAGTCACCCAAAGGTTCATGGGCATAACCATTGAAGATGGTATCCCTATTCAGAGGGTGTGCTGTTGCCTATATGGTATCCCAAGTGTCCCAAAGAAGATCTTAAATGACTTGTTTTTTGCATTACAGCTTTCCAAATCCTTCTCATAAAATATCTAATGGTAATACATTTCTAGGAGTTGCAAATAATGAAGCTGAATCAGGTCTGAGCTTGAGAAACGTACAGCGTTTGAACTACAGATCACAGATCTGTAGAACAATTGTTTTGTTTTTAGCAAGAAGGAATTACATGGCAAAGAGTGACATGGAACCCAAGAAAAATAGTCAATTGTATTTTTCCATTGCCAAAATTATATCAAAAGGTGGGAGTGCCTACAGAAAAGTATAGTGGGGCCCTGGGAAGGAAGGAAAGAAAAGAAAGATTAAGGGTGTTTTTATTAAATATTCAACAATTCAAAACTATTGATTTTAACTGGTCACATTTTCAAAATAATGATTACCTTAATCTTAGTTCATTGTAGATCTGTGTGCATGGAGGTGGAGCTCAACAACCGCATCAAATGGACTGTTTTCAGCAGCATACACGGTTCCTCTGCAATTTGCAATGGAGCCTACCAGCTCCCATCCCATGATGACAAACTACTTCCAGTGGGGCTCCGTCACCAAACTGCAGAGGAACTGACATATGCCACCACAGCAGTAACATGAGAGTCTCCCCCTGTTGCATTGGGATCAAGAGGGGGGAGCCAGGTGGTAGATGAGGTAGGAGGGAAGCGGGTCAATGGGGGACATGGAGCGATGGATTCCCCCCCCCCCCAATGTCACTGCCTGATTCTCCGGGATACATGGTGATTCTGGTGGCACATTTGATGAGGCTGGTGGTGTGAAAATCCATTTACATTAAAGTAGTCAATTGAACCTGTTTTATTGGGTTGCTGGGAACTGTGAATCCCATTCAAAGTCACCTCCTAAGTATGGATGCTCTTTGCTGGTTTGTAGCTGGGAATTGCTCCTTTAGCTGTCTTTGCTTGCCAAGTTCCCTTTCTTTTATACCTTTCTGTTTGCTAGAGTAAATTGGTTAAATAAGAGCAAATGTTTACTTGGCCTAACCTGTATGCCAAAGCCTTCTTGAACACTTCTTTTATTGATATGTAGAAATGAGAGGAACAAGGTCGGGGCAAATGACTCTGTGAAATGCAAATGTTTCTTTATTAGATGCTTATATCTTAATTACCTTCCCACTGTTTATTTTGTTTTCTAGTGGAATGGAGCTGTTCAGAAGACTTTTCTCCTCTGGCTGGGGAAATCATCATGGATAATCTTCAGTCTTTGAGGTGCATTATCACTGGCCTCACAATGGTAAATGGCAAAGTCATTAATTTCGATTGCCTGCTCCCCAAACACTTGCAGAACATCTGCCTTTGAACTTCAGTTTCTGGAGGAGAAGAGTGAAGTGCTCTTCCTGCAGCAAGAACTGCCAGTCATTAAACACATTATGTCTGGTATTCAGCATTTAAAACCACAAAGTAATAGGCAGGCAGCACAGGATGTTAGTGCAAGAGATCAGACAAATCATGGAGTGAAAGCTGCGGCACTGTGGCTCATGAACTATTCTCAGCATAGTTCCAATTATTGACTTCTGGGGTCCACATATACATGCAGCTGATCCAGAGTAGCAATCCTCTAGACTGACCCCGGGGGTAAAGGCCAGGAAGAGGGTTTCAAAACCACAGAAGCTGGCCTTGAACCACTTCCAGAATCTGCAGTATCCATTGCTTGACAGCCATTGGAGAATGTGTTTCTTTTCGCACTTCCCTTCCAAGATGCACACCAGAACTTTGGAGGCATACAAGGT